TTTGTGATGCAGGGATAAATAAGTAACGCACTTACCTTTCAGGGTTATTGTATGAGTTAAGAGTTAACGCAGGACTGCCCTAGTGAGTGGCTCAGTGGTAAAGAATCCGCCTGCCAATGCAGGATCCCTGATATGGGGAGATCCCACATGCCGTGGAGCAGCAAGGCCCGAGCCCACAGCTGCTGAAGCCGATGCACCTAGAGCCTATGCTCTGCGACAAGGGAAGCCACTGCAATGAGAAGCCCATGTCCCATAGCTGGAGAGGAGGCCCTGCTCACTGCAACAAGAGGAAGAAAGCCCGCGCAGCAATGAAGACCCAGCACAGCCAAAAATTAACTAATCAATAATAAAAAGAATTGAGGGCCCCAAAGAGCTTAAAAAAAAAAAAAAAACACCAAAAAACAGTTAATGCAAGGAGTTCCCTGGTGGTCCAATGGTTAGAACTCTGAACTTTCACTGCAAGGGCACAGGTTCAGTCCCTGGTCAGGGAACTAACATCCTACAAGCTGCATGGTGTGACTTGGAAAAAAAAAAAAAAAAAAGGCCAATCAAATGGCAACCAGACTTTCTGGGGCCAGTGCCTCCAGAAAGGGCAGAAGGGAGAAGCAGAAGGAGGGAGTACCTGGCTGGGTCCAGGCTAGGTAGGTCCCCACTCCTACTCTGGGGAGGAGTCTGAGACACTGAATATACAGACAATGGCCAGACCATATATAAAAACCGCGCTCTGACTCACGACCTATAGCAACAGCCCAGGAAGCCAAATCACAACCCTTGCAGTAACCAGCCCCAAACGGCCAGACATTGATCAATGACAAGCTTCTCTAATTTTGCCCCCACTTTCAACATAGTACAAATTGGGGAAAGTTAAATATGCTCCCCTAACCAAACACACGGGAAGCCCCCCATCTAGTTTGCCCACCTACACCTTTTCCAAGGCAGCAGTCTCCAATCAGGGCATATATGAAGCCTATCATTCCCCTCCCCCCACTATAAAGCTTTCTGCCTGCCTTTGTGTGTCTGTCAAACTCAAGTAAATATGGCTGACTCCCTTGCCGTAGCAAACTCTGGAAAAATAGACTTTGCTCATTTTCCTTTGGGTGATCTTTGCTTATTTCCACAAGACCAAGTTCTCTCTCTCCCTTCCTTCTCCGAGGTCATAGACAACATCTTTCTCTCCCACCAGGTGTCCTGAGAAAGCTGCTCAGGGATGATGGGGGACAGTTAAAATTAAGTGTAGCTTTGGATGTGGTATATAAACACAATGGAATATTACTCAGCCATGAAAAGGAATGAAATAATTCCATTTGCAGCAACATCGATTGATCTAGAGATGATGATATGATATCTATCACATCCCTTATATGTGGAATCTAAAAAGAAATGATACAAATGAACTTACAGACAAAAAAGAAACAGACTCACAGACTTGGTGAAGGAGCTTATGATTACAGAGTGGGAGAAAGATGGGGGTCAAGGATAGTAGGGAGTTTGGGATGGACACGTACATGCCGCTATATTTAAAATGGATGACCAACAAGGACCTACTGTATAGCACATGGAACTCTTCTCAATGTTATGTGACAGCCCAGATGGGAGGGGAATTTAGGGGAGAATGGATACATGTAAATGTATGGCTGAGTCCCTTCTCTGTTCACCTGAAACTATCACATTATCAGTCAGCTACACCTCGATACAAAATAAAAAGTTAAAAAAATATGATATAACATACACGTGGAATCTAAAATAGATGATACAAACCAATATATCTACAAAACAGAAACAGACTCACAGACGTAGAGGCCAGACTTGGGGGGTAGAGGAGGGAAGGAATGGGAGCTTGGGATTAGCAGGCGCAAACTATTATATAGAGGATGGATGAACAAAAAGATCCTACTGTATAGCACAGGGAACTATATTCAATATTCTGTGACAAGCCATAATGTAAATGAATATGAAAAAGAATATATTATAGATATATGTATAATATATACTATATATATTATTATATATATATGAGTCACTTTGCTGTACAGAAGAAATTAACACAACATTGTAAATCAACTAATTTCAATAAAATTTTAAAAAGGAGAGTGTAGCTTTGGAACAGGATAGATTTAGGCTCAAATTGTGGCTCTGATGCTTAACTAGCTGTGTAGGCTTAAGTAAGTCAACCACTCTGAACCTCTGTTTCCTCATGTCGAGGATACATTCACTGTAAGAATTCAGTGAGGGACTCTCTGGAGGTCCAGTGGTTAAGGCTCTGCACTTCCACTGCATGGGGCATGGGTTTGATCCCTGGTTGGGGAACTAAGATCCCACATGCATGCTGAACGGTGTGGTCCAAAAAAAAAAACCAAAACATTCATTGAGATAATATATTTGATGCACTGAGCATACAATAGGTGCTTAATAAAGGAAAGGTCAGACTTCATAGATGGCACAAGTGGTAAAGAATCTGCCTGTCAATACAGGAGACATAAGAGACACAGGTTCGATCCCTGGGTCGGGAAGATCCCCTGCAGGAGGAAATGGCCACCCACTCCAGTATTTCTCACCTGGAAAATTCCATGGACAGAGGAGCCTGATGGGCTACAGTGACACGACTGAGGACACACATCAGACTCCTCAAAGCCTCTTCCTGAAGTAGGCAGGACACTGTAGCCCAGCTTTCCTTACCCTCCCCCACCTTTCTGCACATTTGGCAGCTTGACTGACTTCAGCCCGATGGAGTCAGTCATGGGCTAAGTCCAGGGTACATCAAAGGTCAGGGGTCTGTCTCAGAAGAAGGATGGACAAAGGGCATAAAAGTATTTCTCTAAAGAAATCCAACTGGTCAAAAGCAGAAGAGAAAGTGTCCAGGCCAGATACCATTCTCATTCTGTTCTGTCCTGGCCCTGAGGGGTAGTCAGGGTAGGGAGACTCCTGCCCAGAAAACTCTGAGTGCCCTTGTGCCAGGCTGTGCTCCTAGGACTGAGGAGGTGATCTGGGTCTTTCTCTATTCTCCTCTGTGTGTGTGTGTGTCTATGCATATGTGTCAGTTTCATCTTTAAAATGAAAAGTTCAATAGCTTCGCAGGACACAGACACACAAATTAGTGTTCTGCTAATAGTGAGGGGGTGACTTTGAGATGCTCACCTGCTGGAGACAGCCTGAATCCCCTCCCTCCAATTTCCAGGCTCTTTCTTTCCATCCACGGTTTCTCTCCTTCTACTGCCATCCCTGGAATCCAAGCCTCCAGCCAGCCATCTTTTGCCTAGACTGCTGCAACAAGTCCTAAATGTTTTCCGTTTTTTCCTTTGATTCAACAACCAAAGAATACAAGGGTGAGAAACTATCCCCTATCCCCTGAATTCACACAATGAGTTTTAAAATATCGACAATGACCAGGACTGGGCGCAATCCACTCTTTTCTCCCAGTGGAAGGCTGGAGTGGAAACTGGTACATTTCTGGAGGGCAATTTAGTCAGATGTAATTTACTGATTCTGCAGGTCCATTTTTCAAAATACGATAGAAATAAAAAATTACGGGTCCTGTACAAAGATTTCTTACCAAGTTTTTGATGGTAAATATTGTTTCTGATGAAAGAGAAAGAAAAAAGAAAGAGGGAGGGAAAAAAGTAAAGATGGAACAGAAACAAATCAAATATCCAAAAATAGAGACTTTGGTTCAATAAATTGTAACAGTATAACAGTCTATACTTTGAAACACAATTCCTTCTCTGAAAAGGATGTCCAGGCCAATAATTCTCAAAGTAAGTCCAGGAAGAGCAGAAAGAGCATTTGTTTGAAAGGCACAGATTTACAGATTCAGAAACTCTGGGCTGGGCTCAGGAATCTGGGTTTTAACAAGCTCCTGTTGTAGATGAATATTTATCACTATGAAAGAAGAAACTGGTAAATGACAAAGGATTACAAAACAGCATGTTCAAAACAGTATTATGAACAGTGCATCCTTATTCTGAATACATATATAGAAACACATAGAAAAAGGCCAGGAAGATTTTGAAGCAAGGCGGTAACATGAACACTCTCTGGGTAGTAGGATTATGAGTTTTTAGATTTTTTTCGTTTTCCGAATGTGTACTTTCTAACTAGTTTACAGTAATGTGGCTTTGTAAAAAGGAATAAAGAAAAAACGCAATAACCTATTTTTAAGTTAAGAAAACCACGTGGGGAGGGGTGGGGACGAGGTGGGAAGGAGACGAGAGTACTCCTCATATTCATGGTGGGGGCGAGGCTGGGACGACCTGAGTCGGGTCGGTGGGATTCGGCGGCCACACACGGCCACGGCCCAGTGAGGTGGGGAGGGGGGATTTGGCGAAGGGGAAAGGAAAGGCCGCGCTGCGGGGAGAGGATGCGAGGGGTGGGGGCTTCTCTGCAACTCCTCCGACATCTGGGAAGGCTTACCACGACCTCAGTCAAGAGCGGAGAAGAGATTTAGGGCAGACTTCAGGAAGAACTTAACTGCAGAGAGCATCAAATCCCAGAAGGGGCTCCTTGGGGCGATTTTTCCCGGCTGGAACAGACCAAGGATGCCTTGAGGGTGTCGAGCTTCGCCGACTGAGGGCGGGGCTGCCCTGATCTCCCGACCCCTTCCAACCTCGAGACACAGGCGGAGATGCGATCGCGGCGGGATCTCCCACCCCTCCATGGATGCGGCCTGGGGGAGCTGCGGGGGAAAGGAAGGGAGGAGAGGGGGCGGGGCCGTTGCTAGGGGAGGGGCGGCTGGGCGGGCGCCGAGCGCAGTTGGTGCCTAGAGGCGCGCTGGGCTCTGCGGCTCCAGCTCACGCGAAGCCTGTTGCTCGACTCTCCCGGCCGCCGCTTCCCGCCAGGTGCCCCGGGGCCGGCGGCCGGAGGGGGTGAGGCGCGCCGGCAGCCCCCCGCCCTCTCCCTCTCCCCGCGCACAGGTGGACCCGGGCTTCTCCCAGAGCGCCGACGCCGGAGAGCCTTCCCGTGCGCCCCGGACCGCGCGCCGAGACCCCCCTGGGCGCCGAGCTGCGATGAACGCGACCTTCCTGAACCACAGCGGCCTGGAGACAGCGGGTGGCTTGGGCGGCGGCGGCGGCGGGGCTGCGCTGGGGAACCGCAGCCACGGGCTGGGCACGTGGCTGGGCTGCTGCCCTGGGGGCGCGCCGCTGTCCGCCAGCGACGGGGTCCCCGCGGGGCTGGCGCCGGACGAGCGCAGCCTGTGGGTGTCGCGCGTGGCGCAGATCGCCGTGCTCTGCGTGCTGTCGCTCACCGTGCTCTTCGGCGTCTTCTTCCTGGGCTGCAACCTGCTCATCAAGTCCGAGAGCATGATTAACTTTCTGATGCAGGAGCGCCGGCCTTCCAAGGACGTGGGCGCTGCCATCCTGGGGCTGTACTGAGCGCCGCCTCTGCCCGCCCTCGTCAGCGCGGCTGGAAGAAGACCGAGGAGAGCCCAGGACCCTAGATCCGCCTTCCGGAGCTCTGCCGCCGCCTCCGGGAGGGCAGCTCGAGGGCCTCCCCCCACCCGCAAAGCGCCACGGGGCGCCCGCCCCCAGGACACTGCAGGACTCCAGGCGGCGGCGCGGGAAGGGACTTCCACACCAGACTGCGTGCTGTCCAGCCTTGGTGGGCGGGATGGGGGTTCTTAAACTGGTGTTTTTTTTGTTTTTTTTAAAGTTCTGGGCAGGGTGGTGGGAGAGGCTGTAGGAAGCATCTTGGGGCTGAGGTCACTCGCGTGGGAATTTTGTGTGTATGTAGGTGGGGTGGAGTGGGGACCAGTTCCGACCAGCATGGCGAGGTGGGGGGGAGTGCAGTTGTGGATGAATCTGAGTCACTGAGCTTGTTGGGCTTGTTGGCCTGATTTCGAATTTGAGAATCTTTTAATAAAGCTACAGCCGTCGGGGGCTTCCTCTGTGGGGTGTTGTGTGTATGCTGGGGCGTTTGTTGGCGGCGGGGGCGGTGTGTAACCTAGGAGCCAGCATGTTAAGCAGGTCACAGGACGCCTGGCCGCCGGACTGGGCAGCTATGGGGGATGGTCGGGGTCTCCTGAGACCCCACTCCAAAGCCGGGAAGGGGGGGAAAGTGCCCGTTTTCTACTGCTGCCAGCCGGGGCAGGCAGGTCCTGCAAGGACGGCTGGACAGCTGGTGAGGTAAATTAAATCAATTTGAATCTATTCTGTGAGATGGAAAAAAAATAAATCAGCGACTTGAATTCAAAAGGGAGAAAACAACAAAAACAGTACATCAGGAGAGTGGACAAATGAAATGTAATTGGTGTGTGGGGAGAGGTCTAGATGGAGGTGGAATTGTCATGATAGGGCCAAAAGCCCCAGCTCAGGGCTTGTCTGACTTACCCTTGTAGAGGGTCGGGGAGCAGATTCTGAAGATTTGCCTTTGCGGTGTGGGGAGGGAGGGTGTGGGGGAAGGGGATGTGGGCTTGGGAGAGGGTGTTGTGGTTTGAAGGACCCAGGATGTCTATGTATTTCTTAAAAAATATTTTTGGCTGCAGCCCTTGGCATGGGGTGGGACCATAATTCCCCCCACCAGGGACTGAACCCACACCCCCCAGAACTGGAAGGTGGAGTCTTAACCACTGGACCACCAGTGAGGTCCACACCCAGGACGTGTAAAATGGAGCAAATGGCCTCCAGTGTAGCTGTGTTCGGGGAATTTGGAACCTGCCATTATGAGATTTCCCCTGCTGCCCAGAACCCTGGCATCTCTTATAGGTGCAGAATTTCCATAAAGCCTTGTTAAGCAGTTAGAACCTTGGCACTCACCGGCCAAAGAGGAATGAGTGGTTCTACTGTCTGCAAGTGTCTGGTCTGGGGAAGAACTGAGCCTGGGGTCAGGGGGACAGAAGGAGAGAAAGCGGGCTTTGTGGCCCATGTATCCCCCCCGAACCCTAGTGCCAGCCTGACTCCGGCACCCTGGTGCTTGGAAGATTTGAGGGGAGGGCTCTAATTGATTTCTGTCTCTCTTCTCCCTTTCACCATGTGTGGAAGTAAAGATGAGTGAGATGGAAGGGGACTGAAGCCTTACTTGGCTTTGGGAAGAGATGTATAGGGCATGACTGAAGCAACTTAGCACACACACATGTATAGGGCCCACTACCTCATGTCTTCAATACTAGTTCCACATGAGGTTGGGGGAGGGCAGGGTATCTCAACAAGAGAATAGATGCTCACTGATTATGAAGGACCCAGTGTCTTCCTGGTTCCTGAGCCCTCCTGTGTAACCACAGTCATCAACATCAGGATGTGTCACCTTCCCACTCACCCCCACCCCACCATCCCAATCTCCGACCTGGGAGAGTTCAATCAAGTTCATCCAATTAGGCCAGTCCAGTAGAGGCTAGGGGCCAGAAACTATTTATAAAGGATAGTTTATAAATAGTTTTGATCCATACTTTTGGATGGATCAAATTTGGATGGCTCCATTTGATCCACAATGTGGAGAATGTTCTGTCGATGGCTTGGGGTGACTTGCAGGCCTGATCTGGGGAGAGCGGCCTTGAGTGATGGGGGCAAGCTGACTATGTAGCTTTGTGTAGCACAGAGGCCTGGAGCCCAGGGTGACGAGATGGCCTGGAGAACGTGGTTCTGAGAACTGCAGGCATCCATGGAAAACCCAAATGACTAGAAAACGGTAGTTTCAGGAGGGACACTGAAAGTTTTCTGGCTGACCAAGCTGGAGCGAACAACTATGAGAACATCCCTCTAATGAAATGGATCTATGACTGGGGCAAGAGGAGGGGATTTGAGTTAAGTTTCCTGAATTTGCTGAAAAAAGGAAAGCCTTAGTGGGGAAGCTTTGCAGGATTTTCTCACTGTAAAGAAGAAAAAGGACCAGGAAGACACGCCTACCAACATGCCTGTTTGTGCCCTCCATGACCGGCATGCCCCCATGCGCAAGTAGGGACACACAAAGCCAGGCTCCAGCCCCCAAAGAGGAAAACAGCAAGTGTGAGTGGGGTCCTGGGAAGGGCTGGAGGGTAAGATCTCATTTTTTGTCCATCTCAGTTCTCCTGAAGCCCTGATGTCCTGCAGTGTGTTTACCAGAGTTCTCTTATATAAACCTTGGGGGCGGGCACACTTAGTTACGTAAGAGGAAGCATCATGCTCTGGGGGAAAAGCAGGACTAGATCAGAATCCTGAGGCTGGGGCATGGGGTGCTGGATCGAGGAGGGGTCTAGTTCTCCAATGCCCTCCCCCTACTCCCCATCGCTGGGCAGGGAAAGATCTTCCAACAAAGGCTGCCCAAGTTTGAGGGGCCAGGTCTCTGGGGATCCTGGGTTCAGAAAAGAGGTCCTGAACTGGTCTTTGAGATCCTAGTCACCCTGCTTCCTAGCCCTGTGACTCTGGGGAAGTAACTCAACCTCTGTGCCTTAGTTTTCCTTCGTTTCCTCTGTGCCTTAGTTTCCATTTGTAAAGTGGAAGCCAGGGACTTCCCTGGTGGTTAAGAGTCTGCCTGCCAATGTAGAGGGACACACGTTCCATCCCTGGTCTGGGAAGATTCCACTTGCCTCAGGGTAGTTCGGCCCATTTGCTCCAACTACTGAAGCCCACACACCCTAGAGCCCATGCTTCGCAAGAAGAGAAGCCACTGCAATGAGAAGTCCACACACAACTGGAAAGTAGCCTCTGCTTGGTGCAACCAGAGAAAGCCCACGGGCAGCAATGAAGACCCAGCGCAGGCAAAAATAAATAATAAATAAATAAATAAACATAAAATGGAAGCCATAGAACCCATAGCTCCCATGAGATGATGAGTTTAGGTAGCCAACATAGTGCCTAGCATGGAATAAACAGCAAATAAAGATAATTACTGTGACTGTCATGATTTTTGTTTAGGGTATGAACACTTCCCCAGCAAGATATATTTGGTTTTCTGGAAAGGGATCCTGGACAGAAGTCCAGTAACTTTTATCTGCAATGTAATTTGTTGTTTTCAAAGCATTCTCATAAGCAGGATAAAAACAATGTATCACATGTCTAGCCTGCAGAGCGAGCACTGAGCGCCTACCCCACAGAGGACAACTTCATCACTGCTCCCATTTTGCATGCTCTTGTCTGCTGTCCACAATAGCGTGGTGAGTAAGAGCAGACACTCTCCCGTGTGCCAGGAAGAGGAAACTAAGGTTCTGTTTAAGGGACTTGCCCCAGTTCATCCTTTGTACCCATGACTACTGGGAATCTCCGGGGCCAGGTACTGTGAGGGCACCAGGGTGAGCAAGGGGGTGGCAGAGCTGGAGTCTAGCCTGGCCTGCAGCCCCGGAAGCTCTAGATTCTTGCCGCGCTCCTCAGGGCCACTGGCCCTCGGGTACTAAGCTGAGGGTCTTGGGGATGAGGTCAAACCACTCACTTTCCTCCTTCCTTTGAGTCAGGGCTGGAATATTTGGGGTCAGTTATGCCCTCACTAGTAAGAGAGGTCCCCTGGAGTGGGAGACAGTAGGAAGGGCTTACATCACAGCATCCACTTATCTTCCCACTTGTTTGTCTGAATCGCATTCACACAGAGCCAGGCTGGGCTGGCTTCCAGGAGTTGCCCTGCCTGATCTCTCCCGAGACACCCACTCGGCAGCAGACCAAGAGCAATCTGGAGTGTTAGGGAGGTTTAGAAGGGAGAGGGAAACGTGAGAAGTGGTGGACACAGACAAAAATGGCCACAGCCAGCATTCCAGTGTTGGGGGAAAAGGGGTGCGTGTGTAGTTTATATTGGGTTGGCCAAACATTTCATTTGGGTTTTCCATGAGATTGTATGAAAAACCTGAACTAACTTTTTGGTCAACTCAATGCAAAGGAATTTAGTAGGATCTCTGAGTAGCATCCCTTGAGTGCAACTCACAGTCCTCTCTTGTCAATCAAGATCTGACCAGGTACATGGGATGTCTAGAACCCAGAACTCCAGCTCAGGCCACACCAAACAAGTGTTCAGGACTCTGAGAGCAGCCGAAAGGTGAGGGGGTTTTCCTGAGGCAGTACCTGCTTACCCCTGCAGCTCCATGGTGTGACAGAACTCCATCACTACACTAGCCTTGAGGATCACAACTGTCTTCTCTGTGTATGCGTTTTCTGTGGCAGCAAGCACGATGCTTTATTTTGTTTAGAGACATCACAAAACTGGGTTGAACTGAAGACACAGCCTCTGCTTTCAAAGAGTGTCATGGCTCATATGGATCAAAGACATGTAATCAAATAAACAAAACACAAGGCGGGTGAGCGCTCACTTCAGTCAGATGCAAATGAAATTTCACAATAATGATTCCCCTTTTAGGTGCTAATATTGCCATTTAGTGAAGATCTTTCACATGCCAGGAATAGTGTGGAGTACTTTTCATATTTGATCTCATAATCCTTTCTGATTTTTTCATAACCCAGATCTAATCATTCCTGCAAGGCAGAGGTTGCTGTCATCTCTGCTTAAGAGAACAAGGCTCAAATTGTTTAGGTCATTCCTCTGAAACCACAGTTAAGAATCCATAGAACCAGAGACTTTCCTGGTGGTCCAGTGGCCAAGACTCTGAGCTCCCAATGCACGGGCCCTGAGTTCAGTCCCTCGTCAGGGAGCTAGATCCCACATGCCATACAACTCAGAGTTTGCATGCTACAACTAAGACCCAGCACCTCTAAATAAATTTAAAAAAAGAACCCATAGGACCAGAGTCCAAATTCAAATCTGGTGGTGGTGGTTTAGTCGCTAAGTCATGTCCAACTCTTGTGACCCCACAGACTGTAGTTCACCAGACTCCTCTGTCCATGGGATTTCCAAAGCAATAATAAAGAAATGGGTTGCCAATTCCTTCTCCAGGGGATCTTCCTGACCCAGGGATCGAATCCAAGTTTCCTCCATGGCAGGTGGATTCTTTACTGACTGAGCCACAGGGAAGCCTTAAATTCAAGTCTATCTGAGGTCA